TTTTGACATTTTGATTTATTTATTTCTCCTTTTTGCACTGCGGTGGTGTCTTATTTTTCTCCACTAGTGGAACGGATGGGTGAAAGACGATCACGCTTTCAAAATAAGAGCGCTCAACAAATTCTGGGCTGAAAGATATGAAAAGATATGAAATTTGATGGCCTGAACAAACATTTTTTTTTTACAATGACTTCCTGACCTGACCTGACAACTTACTGCGCAAGGGTTTTTGTTTGTGTTGATGTCATTGTGTGTCCCAGTTGATCGTTGTGTGTGTGTGTATATTTGATGTGCGTTTCTGGTCATTTATTTACAGGCAGATGACCACAAACACGACCCGCAGCGGACACAGGATAACTGTGTCCGCTGGATAAATTCTGGATAGATTCTTGCTTTTCCTTTTTTTCAACAGGCTGAGCAGTGCATTTAATGACAACTAACCACTAACAAACTGACACATAACACACCATTGTTTCATTTGAATAACTTGAAACTAACGAACCGTTGCTGTTTCTTTTGGAGCAGGATTCCACAGGTACAGACCGGCTGCTGGAAGTGTGAGAACATACGAGTGTCGACAATTTTACAACCGAGTCTGTTATGTTGTGTGTTCTGATTTTTATATTGTTTGCCCCACCACCATTCAGCACAAACCGCTGAACTGGTCGCGCTCACCAGGGCTTGTGAGCTGGCAGCGGGCAAAACTGTTAACATATTCTGTGATACGCGTTAAGGTTTCTCTGTGGTGCACGACTGGGGGGCACTGTGGAAACACCGCAATTTCATGAAATCTGATGGTAAACCAATTCGTAATTCCACACAGGTTGAACGTCTGCTGAAAGCTGTAATGTTGCCCTTAGAGATCGCTGTATGCAAATGCCAGGCCCACACTAATGCCACTGACCCCATCTCTGCAGGGAATCGGCGCGCGGACAAGGCAGCGAAGGCAGCGGCATACTCACCTCTGCCCACACAAACACACTACCTCACTCAAGACGTTGATATTTTCTCCTCTCTGTCAGCAATGCAGGCACTGGCTACTCCAGCAGAGACGGTGCTGTGGGAGGGAAATGGGGCTCAACGACGGCATGGTGTGTGGGCTGGGACCAGACCTCAAACCGTGCTTACCACGGCATTTCTTCAGACATTTTGCGATTTTAGCACATGGTCGAGACCATGCCTCAAAAGGAGGGATGTGTAACTTAATTACACAAAATTGGTATACGAAGGGGTTTACGGCATTTGCACAGAGATTCTGCCAAACATGCGCTATCTGCCTCGCGCACAACCTGGGTAAGTCCCAAATTATCCAACAGGCTGCTGTTGTATTAAATATAGGCTAAAAGGCGATGTGAATTAGATTGACCTGAAATTGAACTCTGTCTGTCTCCAAGCAAAAAGAAAGACCTTGTATTGCCCTACTCCCCTTGTCCCATTTTGTCCAAAGTGCATGGGTGAGTTAATGATAGTTAATCTGGGGGGATTCTGCTAATCTTTTCAAGTTGTGAAAGAAGGAGAGCTTTCTGCCTTATCTCAAAGGAACCAATAAATCTATAGGCTGGGGAGGGGGAGTGTGTGAATGATTATGTCTAGGTCTGGCGAGACGGAGAAGACATGATGGAGGCCGGACCCGGGACCCGAGAGAAACGACACGCCCCCTTCTTCATGCACATTTGCTTAAATAACCTCATGCTTGTTTTTTAGAAAAAACTGGATCAGGGACAGCAGTGTGACTTTGCGTGGAGCGCCCACCAAAGTCATACTTTATACTTTATATAGGGAATAAGGGATAGTTAAAGTTGGTCCAGGTCGTTGTGTTAGATTCTTTTTGTATTAGGGAAATAAACCTTTTTGAATTTAACTTTCTGAATCATGGTCATCTTTATAAGGGATTTTGAACACGTCATTTTTTAATACGATAATTGGTGACCCTCGACGTGATCCCTTTGATGACTTTTCGCCTTCCCTTGGACTCTGCGTCTCTCCTCAAAGCGGCCGCTGAACTGAAGGTAAGCAGATACCTTTTGACTAATTAAAAATCTGCATATTGGACTAAACAAATTAAGGGGAGAGAAGTTTTGTCCACGGAGGAGCTAATTCAAAAAGTAAAAATAGTAAAAGCCTAAAAAGTAGTTAGAACCCTGCGAGAATATATTAAAAGTAAAGATTTTTTGAGAAGCCTTGCCAGAAACAGGAAAGCCCGCTGTGACTAGCGTGGTTGACGGACGCGTCAACACACAAGTTAGGTTTAACCCATTGGAACCTGGGGGAATTTTGGGCCCCCCCGAAAAATGGAGACAGGCATTCCAATCGAGCAGCTATATAGAGAAATAGAGGCTCAGATTCTGAGTGGTCTGGATAAAAAATATAGGAACAAGGCAAAACGAAAGGCTGTGAAAGCATGGGAAAAAATACAGAACAAAAGGGTCATACCTGAGTATATGACAGCGTCCGCATTGGCTAAGATATTGCGGGAAGAGGAAAATAATTTAAAACAGGATAAACTTGAGCTTGAGGGAAAGCAAGGAGAGAGTTGGAATGAGCGTAGGAAAATTAAAAAGAAACTAAAAAAGGCTGAGAAACTGAGGACCAAGGTACATAATTTTGCTTTGGCTGCCACGGCGTTGGCAAAATTACCGATGGTAAGTAAAGACAAGGAAACAGAAAACGGAGCAATGCCGGTGAGTAATATATACCCATCCCTACCCACGGCTCCACCAAAGTACTCTCTAGGTTTAGAACCAGGTAAGCCAAATCTAATATTGCCACAATATACATTTTCAGGAGAAGTGGCGGTAAGAAAGAGAGGGGACAATGACTTTGTAGACAGTGAATTTGACGAAGGGACAGAAGAGGAGTCTGTGGGGGACAATAGAGATCCGAGTCAAAATCCTTCTGTCAGCCTCCCGCCACAGCTCCCACACACCCCTCACCAACCCCCATCTATTCAAGAGGAGCTCCTGCACTCTCTCAGAAATATTAGAGCTAGGACCCATGATTACGAGACCGCTAGACAGGAGAATGCAAAATTAATTAATAAAGCCGCACGCAGAGCCATGACTAGGACGGACAGTGAAAGTGACAAGGGAGACGGTGCCATGGCCCCACCAGTACTTAAAGCTAAACAGGCTAAAAAAGGAGCTAAATTCTCTTCTGACAGTAGTGATGACGGAGACCAGGAGCCTGGGGAAACTAGACCGGTGGCAAGCAGAACCAGGTCTCAGACAAAATCCATGTTCCCTCTGAGACCAGGACGAGGCGCAGCTGGGGAGTACCATCCTTTTTCTGTAAGTGACATGCAGACTATAAAAGACAAAATGCCTCCATTGTGTCAGGGAGCTGGAAACTGGATTTCCAGTCTGAACACATGGTTTACAGGTCATGATGTCGCGATGGGTGACGTCCGGGCAGTGATGGCAGCATGCAGTAAACCTTGGGAGAGAGACGCTATTGAAAGACAAGCTGGTACTGCTGATGTTTGTGATACTTCCAGATTTGGCCAATATGCAAATGCCTGGTATGAAGCACTGAGGGAAAACTTTCCAACTCCGCTGTCTTCTGCCCCTCGTGAGTTAACTTGGCTGGAGTCTGAGGACCCACTTGTATTTTATGACAGGAGTGTGACCAAGTGGATGGACACAGTAGGAAGACACCCTCACAAGGTCAGTGAAGTCATGCCTTTTAGAGCAGCTATTTTGAATGGTTTACCAGAAACAATACGCTCAAAGATTGAAGACAACCCAGATAATATTAACCCGGATTCAGCACAGTGGAAAACAAATTTAATCTTTCACATTAAGCGATATGTTGAAAATAAAACTAAAGAAAGAAAGAGTGTTGAAGATATGACTTGTCAACTTTTGAAGTTACAGCTTAGTGAAGCGACTTGAAGGGGGCGTCTGCTGAGCGATAGGCTTTTGCGAGCCGGCCTGGAGGGGGTAATTTTGGTTAAAGCCACCCAAAATAAAAAAGGAAAACAAACTAGTAATGTTCAGATGACTAATATGCCTGCTGGACTTCCCACTCCACCACGACAGGACTGGACAAGGGGAGGGGCCAAATATTCTGTGTGTTCTGTATCCTTAAAATGGTTGTAGGTAGAGTTCTGCAAACAGCCAGCAGGTGGCAAGCAGTTCTACTGCCATAGTACATGGACCACGCTGAGGCTGGTGGTTTAAAGGGGACATCAAAAAACCTACTTTTCTCAGCTTCTGGTTATTATGGTATGGTTATTTATATTCTCATACATGTGCATCACCATTGCTCTCCCCTCAGTCCTCTGACTTTTCATTGGCAATTTAATATGGGGAGGGTCCACCATCCTCACACTCATCTTTGCTTAAAGGAAAAAAAACAATAATCACATTTTTTTTCAACATGGTAAGGGCAAACAAAAAAGGGGGACTGAAGGACAAAGAAGCGCTTTGCAACTATTTTCTTCTATAACATAATTTAGCTTGATATTATAGAGAACAGAATCACATGTCACCTTTAAATTGTTACCTCACCATAGGTTTCCTTCTCAACCCTCTTGCACTCTTCTACCACTCGTACTGCTGATTTACCACAGCTTGTCTCCAAAGTGCAAAGCATTACGAGTAATGTGCAAGTAGCAGAGGTGCTAAATCCATAAATTGTGAAATGCCATAGCAGTTGAAGTTCAAAGGCGCTAAAAAGGACCAGAAAGAGATTGTGACACAGATTCTCCTGACATTAAACAAATAAGTAATAAGGTTGTATAAGAAAGGAAATTATGCACATGAAGTTGAAACAAAATTGTCGAAGGATTTGTTTCTTATGAGAACTATATGAACACACAACATCCACCATTAGCTCTGCTTTAACCCTAATTTACATATTAGGGAATGCATTCAAATATTAAATAATGTGCAACAATCGCACAAACAGCATTTCATTTCTTTGCTTTCTCCAGATGGATGGTTTAATACATATTTCCTGTTGCTTCTTCCTGTAGGTCTTCCCTATCGTGTCTCTGGTCTATGCTGTCTTTGTGTTATCTGCCGGGTGTGATCGCTGGCATCATTCAGCTCTACAGAGGAACCAAGTACAGGTCAGATCATCAACATATACCTTGGATAGAGAAATATGCAAGTTTTAGTATTAGCTCTGCCCTTCTCAGCTGTGCAGAGTATTGAGGAAAACACAAGAGAAATGGCAAATGTCGAGACCTCGGCCACTACGTTTCTGGTTTTGTATTATAGACCGATGTTATGATCAGAAATAGTCTGTTTTTAACTCGAGCCTGCCTGGATCGCTGCCTCTGGTGGCTGCATACGGAGTTAAAGGCTCATTCCTCCCCACGACTCACCTATCACCTGCTCCCACTGACTTCTGCTGTCGTTGTGTCCCTGGGCAAGACACTTTACCCCACTTTGTCTGAAACCCCCGAAATTCCAAGGTCGTGTCTTCGTTGACACCACCTGCAGGAGGATCAGCAATGGGGCTGTTGCTTTTAGAAGTGGGTGGTAGTTCTGATTGGCAACCCCCGACACATGAAAATTATATGACACAACTCGTTTCACCATGTGTATTATCCTTTTTAATGTCCAAAAATGATAAATATGTGTATTGACCACCAAAAAGTCCACTGCTGAAATGAGTAAAAAGTTCATTATTCTAAATGAGTGGTGTGACATTTGCAGACGCTTCCCGGACTGGCTGGACCGCTGGATGCTGTGCAGGAAGCAGATCGGTTTGTTGGCGCTGGGTTTTGCGCTGCTCCACGCCGTCTACACGCTGGTCATCCCCATCCGCTACAACGTCAGACACAAGCTCATCTCCCGCGTGGTCGACGAGGTGCTGCAATATGTGTTTATAACCCTAACCCTTTATATGGCACTTTGGAAAATGTATTAGATACTCAAGATGGATTTGTTATCAGTAAAGTGATAATCATTGAAGTTGTATAATAATAATCAGTGGAGGACTTCTGAGTACTGTAAGCAAAAGTCATAGGATAGTGAGTATAGAGTGAGAATAGTGGTATTTCAAGAAGTATTGTGCTAGCATTGTAGTAGTGGCAGGAGTAGTACTAATATAACTGTAGAAAGTGGTATTGTAGTAGTAGTTGTAGTTAGTAGTAGTGTAGTATAGTAGTAGTATTTGTTTTGCTGAAACGTATTAGATCGTAATATTGTGTCCAAATTCACAATTGCTAACTTTTAAAACTTAAATTCTTATAACCAAGAATTAGAGGAGGATGGGGAAAGAGTCTATCACAAGGACAGTGTCACATGAACCGTCCACATCCATCACGCAGATCTATAGCTGTCACAAACACTTACAATCTGTGATAAAACTGAGTCTCAAGTCTCATCCAAACACCTCAAAGAACCAACTGCTCAACTTCCCATCTCATTTAATCTGCTAATAAAGTCATTTTTACAGTATATATTATTCATTGCTGAACATGTTTTTTTTGTGGCCCTTTTTCCTTACAAAGAACCAGGGCTTTAACACTAGAACTCCCAGAGCAGTCAATCTGACAGGTTTCAGTTTTGTAGTGTGAGTATCTACATTTTTGGACTTTTTCTGTCTCTCTGTGTATTTTATTTCTTATTATTTTTGTGATTTTTTTTCTTTGACACTTGTTTCCATTACTTGCTTTTAGAACAGTCAGAATGTACTCAAATGATGATATATAAAACCTGATTAAACTATTACCTCATGATAAATCATTGCAGTGCAATTAAAACAGGTTGTGATATTCTCCTCTCGTCTCTGTGCATGTTTTCAGATGAAGAACAACAAAACGACTCCGTTTGACTTTGACAACACAGAGGCCTGGGGCACGGACTCGCTGCTGGCCATGGGCATCCTGGGCCTCTTCCTCTACGTCCTGCTGGGCCTCAGCTCGCTGCCCTCGGTGGGCGCCACTCTGAGCTGGAGGGAGTTCAACTTCATCCAGGTCTGTGTCCACCTGCAGACACACACACGTCTGTGGACGCGCACACATCTGCAGACACACACACGTCTCTGCAGACTCGCACACATCTGCAGACTCGCACACATCTGCAGACTCGCACACATCTGCAGACTCGCACACATCTGCAGACTCACACACATCTGCAGACTCGCACACATCTGCAGACTCACACACATCTGCAGACTCGCACACATCTGCAGACTCACACACATCTGCAGACTCGCACACATCTGCAGACTCACACACATCTGCAGACTCACACACATCTGTAGACTAACACACATCTGTAGACACACACACACATCTGTAGACTAACACACATCTGTAGACTAATCTGTAGACACACACACACACACATCTGTAGACACACACGCACACATCTGCAGACTCACACATATCTGCACACACACACACACACACACACGGCGGACACTCAAAGGTCACTGTGTTGTGTCAGTGCACACATTTACATGGACGGGAAAACAATAAAAAACCTTTGATATTAAAAAAGTGTGTTGCCTGGCAGTCAATGACTGGTCTTGTCAGAGCTCAGAAGCTAAGCAGTGTGTGGTCTGGTTAGTACATGAATGGGAGACTGCTGAGTGTCACAGTGGGATGACCGAGGCTCTAAAGTGCAAACCGTAACTGTGGTGTCCTCAGGCTGTGTGTCTGTGTGTATCTTTTTGCCTGTGTGTGTCTGTGTGTGTCTTTGTGTCTGTGTGTGCGTGGTGGTTGGTGGGTTTTGTTGGCACAGATTGACAGCCTCACTTTTTTCACTCTGCTAAATGTGAAGTGAATGAAACGTGTAATAATGTAAAGCAGCAAGAGTGAAAAGAAAATTGCTGTATTATTCTAAACCTTCAAACTGCAGAGAACAGAGACAGTGGTTTTACTGTGAAAACCATATTTTGACCATAATACTTCTGCCCAGGAGGTATTGTGACCAGCTGAGTATGTCTGTTTGTGAGCAACATAACTCAAATGGCCCAGTGGAGGATTAATACATTTCAGATTTGATCCATATTGCCTGGATCCTGGATTTGTTGCATTTTTTCTGCGCTCTAGACATTCTTTAACGATTAAAATATTTATATATGTTGCATGCGAAAACCAGATCCCATCAGACCTCTGAAGCTGTGCAGGGCAGGGTCTGGTTAGTACTGTGATGGGAGACCTCTGTTGCTGTCTCCTCAGGCAAGACACTTCAGCCACATTGCCTAGAATGAGTCTGATGTGTGCGTAAGTGGTTGGTGGTGGTCGGAGGGGCCCATGGCACATACTGGCTGCCTCGCTTCTGTCAGCGTGCTCCAAGGCAACTGTGGCCACTGTGTATGGAGTGAAACGACATGTGAAGCCTCTTTGAGAGATGTCTGGCTTAAAGACCCTTAGCCAATCAGACTAATGTGAAAAAGTCTAAAAACAACAAAAATACCATTAATATGAACAAGACATATTTAACAGTGATTTTCCATACCAAGTTTAAGTCTAGACCAGGCTTATACAATGACATTACCAGTTTGTTCCAGGTTAAAACTCAATCTAAATCTTATCTAAAACCCTACTATACTTTATTACATATTGACTTTGTATAATTTAAAAACTGCAGCGTATGGCCTCTGCTTCTGACTGTTTACATGACTCACGGTCCTGTCATAATCATGTGCCTCTGCCATCACTCCATCACACTTACTGCTCTGAGATTATTTTTATTTGGTCACAGTTTCCAATATTTTCTTTATCCACGGCACTGCTGATTCAAAGCCGCTTATCTCCCGTGAGTGTAGTTAACTAGCTGGATAAGTCTGGATCTAGGAGTGGAGAGCGTGCTAAATGTTAAGTTATTCATTAAATAGAATTATGGTGCCAGGTTATAATCCCCAGGCAGAAAATTTTTAATATGGGTCACGGGCCACATTGTGTAAAGGGCAAACTTCAGATGGGAAAAGCAGCTAATCTTTCTGATCTTAACATATAACATGGTGCGAAAGGAAATCAGGAGTCATTAGGTGTTGTTAGAGGTAGGTCATTAGGAGCTTTAATGAATTATGAATATCTTTTTAATGGAATTATGAAGTAATTTCAGTTCTCTAAGATGGTGGTGATTGACTACATGCCTCGGGCTTTTGGAAAATACAAAAATAAATACTTTGGTCATGTGGTGAGATGAATGAGGTCCAGGTGAAAACTAAACTAGAAATCCAAAGAAAAAGGAGAATGTATGAGAATACAATGGACCAGCAACAAGGGGAGAGGAACACAGGGTACATATAAATCATGTTTCCATCGCAGGAACTTCGGGGTAATTTTACAGGGCCAGCCCCGTTGGTGCATGTCGCCACTGCAGGACCCTCCCCACAGGGCCATTTACAGGCCCAACAGAGTACCTCCTTCATGTTAGGTACTACGTACGGCCTTGAAAAGCTCCTAATGGGGCTTGAGGTTGACCCGGCACTGATTGGCTAAAGCTAGAGCAGGCTCTGACAGCAGCAGAAAGCACCAAAATAACCTACTTTTTTCAAATCCAGCAGCATTAGCCCAACAGACACCGCTGGAAACAGCAAATAACAACAGAAAGATGTACGATAAATAGACAGATGATGAGTTTCCGGCACCTCAGACATACAGATGGGGTTTAAGGGATCGCAACGAAATTAACAGATATATCAGGACATATCAGCGCACCTTGACACCCTGGAAATTCAGTCAAAAAAGACTGGAGCAGGACTATAAAAAACTCAAAGACCACAAGCAGTTCCAACCGAAAAATAAATAATTATTGATTACGATTGAAACTCACGACGTTGCCGAGGGATCCTATTCTGCAGCAGATCTATGCTCTGCAGTGGAGACACGGCACTGAGAGGACCGTGTCTCCACCGTGTCTTCCTTTTACCAGGGACTCCTGTGGTGGAAACGCGACCATAGACACAGACAGACACAGGTGAAACACAAACAGGTCAAACTAAAAGGACTTTGGTGATGATATACTATACTACATTTATGGACATTAATCAAAATAGAGTCAACACTAGCCTGGTTGTACCACACCTTAGTACAAATTAAATTTCATACTAAGGTCTGGATTTGCTCCATTGAGCTCCGTGAACAGGTGGGAGGGGTTTACTCTTTTTGCAGATTGAAACGATTGGATCTGAGTTTACTGCGACGTATGTAATGCGCCCGAGTCTGTTGTTAGCATTTAGCATTTAGCCTAGCCATCTCCTTTTCTGCTAACGGAGCCCGTGGGGAGTAGCGCCACAATTTTGACCAGCGATTACATTATCTAAACATTCCTCTAGCTCCTGCTTCAATTTTTTGATAGAACCAGATTACTTTACTATCACATTCTTTGCCACTGCCAACCACAACCTGCCCGTTCGGCGCAAACTCTTGACGTCACCGGCACCGACCTACAACACCCGCCTTCCGCGCTCTCTGAGTAGCCAGTCGAAAATACGACCGATTTTAATCGCTAACACAGGGACCAGACCCAGACGTTACATGCAGTGAAATGATGATTGAGCGGAGTGTGCGGATGGCTATGGTCAGGCTAGGTCGACTCACCCTAAGACCAATACATATGTGTTCTATATTTTTTGTGTTTTCACTGTTTGATTCTCTGATCTGTGTTGGCGATTTCAACGGTCTTGTCCTTTGTGTTAGCTGTTGTGATTTAGCGCCATGCAAGAACATATTGAACTGACTTGAATTGAAACACATTAAGTCGGGGCAGTCATTCAAAAGGGGAAACAGACAGGAAGTGAAACTAAAATGAAACTACAAAGAACTAAGGTCAAAATAAAAGCAAATACAGAAATAAAATCCACACCGTGACAACTTTAAACAAGACTGAACTTGCTTCTAATCATGAGAGTAAGAACTTATTTCATTGAATTCTTTTATGTCCAGTCCCCCTTTGACATCCAACTGTTTTTGTAATCTGTAATTGACTTTTGACCCTTGTCCAAAATAGGTTCTAAATCTCACTAGGACTTAAAAAAGGTTAAACAAAAAAAATAAAAAAATAAATGACTTTCAAAAAAAAAAAATACTACTGTTTGTGAACGTAATTGCTATCAAATAACATTCTTTTTAACTTTTCTAAACAATTGCTTCTTTCTTTCAGAGATGTGTTGGCATCTGTCCTTCTACTGAAAAAGAATACTCATTCATTTTTGAAACACCAGCAGAAACCTTGTCACATCAAAAGCCCCATTCTGATCTTAGACAAAGTTACCAAGCAGCAGGGTTTTAGTTTCCTTAGTTTGCATACTTACAAATGAAAAATTGAGTAAAACATTGGTTCTTGTGTGAAATGAAACAGGAGCTCTCGCAACTGTTGAATTCAAGTGGATCCCATACAGAGTTAGCAGCCAAATATCATCACATTTTGGATACAGCCAGTTAACAGGTGCAGACCAACTGGACTCCTTCAAGGCTTGGTGTTGGTCTGAAGAGCCAATAACAGGATATTTCTCAAATGTGGGTGAATCGCTTGGAAAAAAACAAAAACAGAAAAGTACATGGTAGAACATGGTGTGAAAAGAGTGTTAAGATAATACTATTTTATTTCACATTCTTAAAAAAAAGGAATTGGCGAAGTAAGATTTTTTATTTTTGATGGCCAAGAATACGCATCATATTTATTTTGCTAAATAATACTTATTTTGCTAAATAATACTTATTTTGCTAAATAATACTTATTTTGGCGCAATCCAAGTCGTTTGTTCATCGTCTCGGTGAATATACACTGCAAAAAATGATCAAATATGAGATAATAATTGCTTGAATTGTCTTAAAACGAGATTTGCAAGCAATTTTGACTTGACTCAAGAACTATTGCTTTATTTTCTCATTCCAAGAGAGAAATGTCTTGTATCTTTTTAAAACAATATATTTTTTCTTGTTCCACTGGCAAATCTTGTTTTAAGGCAGTCAAAATGTGCTCAAATTTAGAAACATTCAGCAAAATTTTTGTATTTTTTGTCTTTAATTCCATCATTTTTTGCAGTGTAATTGGCGGAAGTTTTAGATGAAGATAAGATAATATGAAAGAACCTTTATTCGTCCCACAGTGGGTAAATATTGTTGTTGCCACGCAAAATTATACTCATATATGGGCAGGAGAATAAGTCGATAAAGTGAGATTCAGTGGACATTCTGAAATTGGACAAGTGATTGCAGTGTTTACTATAAACACCAGCACCAGCGGATGTGTTCTGTGAGATGCGTTCATATACAAACATATACTGTACATCTGTTAGACAAAGAAAAGAGACATTGAAAAAAATATAAATCCAAGAGCAGCACACTTGCACCAGCAGCAAATGCAAAAGAGGATTGTTCAAGTGGTGTTAAAACAACATTTCCTCTACACTTTGCGACACAGATTTTAAGAGCGTGAACACAATGACCCCGATGCACAATAACCATATAAATGTTGCTTTATGCTGCTCAGTCTGCTATCATTTGAAATTAAATCACATTATCCACATAATTAGCACAATCAGAGCCTCCAGGGCCGACAATTACACAGCAGTTTCTCCCATAATCCCTAAATGATATGAACGCAGCACAAACTTCAGGAGGAAAAGTTGTTAAACGATAATAGCAATTTAAAAAAGGACATTCTCTGCTCTGCTGTAGTAAAAATCTGACATCCTAAAACATCACAAATCTGCAAAAATGTTTCAAATTCAGGGTATAACAAGGCAAGGCCAGGGAAGTGTATTTTTATAGCACAGTTCATACACAAGGCATTTGCTGAATCACAAGTTACAAAACAGTAGGAATGAGGAGCACAATAAGTGAATATTTAAAACAAAAATCTCTGTATGATTTAATTTATTGAGTGCCATTGACGTATTTGTCTGAGACTGGTGATTTCTGTCAAACTTCCCACTATTCGACTCGGATTACAGGACAACAAAAAGTAGCTAGAAGCAAACTTATTTTTGCTGATGAAAGTAGACAATCCAGTTTTTCCGAATGGTTTCATATTTCACATAGCCATAGAATATTCTGTGGGTCTTGAGAATCAGTGAAATCATCTAAAACAGCTGGCAGTCAATGAGTATACAGTCCTATAGATGTAAACCGCTAACAGTTCACAAGCTTTACTTTGCACCAGCAACTCAGCTCCTGGATGAACAGATGTGTCTCACTGTGTGTCCCATTGTACCAGGCATGCAGCCCATTAATTATTACAATGCATTGGTATAATGGATTGCAATTAATTTACACGTGTCACCAAAAACAATATATACACATCTTTTTTTATTCGACCCTTGACAAAAATGCTCCTTGTCTATTACCCCATTGGTCACATGCCTCTCTCTCGTCAGTCCAAGCTGGGCCACCTGACCCTCTTCGTCTGCACGGCTCACGGCTACATGTACGGCTGGGACAAGTTCCTGAAAGTGTCCACATACAAGTGGTACACTCCTCCAGGATACATGCTGTGTCTGCTGCTGCCTACTGTGGTTCTGCTGCTGAAGCTGCTGCTGCTGCTGCCCTGTGTGGACCGCAGCCTCACACGCATCCGCCAGGGCTGGGAGAGAGCACCGGGCCTGCCTGAGAAGCAGACCAACTTCTGAGGCGTGTGTGTGTGTGTGTGTGTGTGTGTGCGTGAATGTGTGTGTGTGAGTGTGTATGTGTGCGTATATGTGTGTGCGTGCGTGTCTTTGTGTTGAACAGTGATTGCACTGTTGTTTAAACGTACTGCTCCATATACAGTTTATGCCCTTTTCTTTTAAAAATAAAAATACTGTGATTATATTATTTGTTTTAACATTGCCTATATGTTTTGTAACGCACAAAACACTTCAAATAAACTTGCCTTATATTTAATTTTGTTTGAAATGTTCAGAATTTTGCTGTTGTTTTTGAGCTGTTTGCTTTTCAATCTAACTTTGTTTTGTTCTGTTGACAAGAGAACGTGTGGAAAAAATACAAATCTACTTTGAGCAACAAATCCTGACATTAAAACAACTAACCGGGTCAAAAACGGTAAAAGAAGTCATGAATTTCGACATGTCGGTCCCTTATTTCCTCGTTGCTGATCACTAAGCGAGCAGGCATGAATACAATACTCCTTTTTTACCATTAAATGATGACATGCCAACGAACGGTCCACTTTTTGAGTGTCCATGTCACACGCACGTCTCTCCGCCTCCATCAACTCATGCAAACTAAATGCAAACATGCGGATCTAAAGCGGAACATGCGATGATCTTTGCAAAGAAAAAAAATCAATGGCCGGCCTTTTTATTCCAATGGCTGACAATAAAACGTACATAATCAAACGCATGTGTGCACTTCAGAACAAGGACGAACGAGAGTAAACTATGGTAAACAAAATGTGCATGAATAGCAGAGCAAGTCCATATTTAGGATCATGGACAATAAGGTTAGCTGTACTGAACCCCATTTTTTTTGTTTTTTGGAGCAAAGGAAATGTAAAATTGGATGAAGGAAAAAAGAATACCCCATGTGATAACTTAGCAACCGCAGATAGTTCATTGAGATTCAAGATTCAACAATTGATTTGCCATTTGCAGTAAAACCACATTGGAAAAACTGTGCAAGACTTCCCCAGTGTGCACCAGAGGTCAGTGTTATGTTTCATAAAGACTCAGCCGATGCCACCGCAACCTTTCTTCAGACTTCCTTTCCACATCGCAGGAGAAACTGGACAAAGTGGACCAACGCAAAGTATACAAGTGATCCGGTCTTGTGTGGGTCACGAGGACTCCAGTTGTGTAGCCGTTGTTTGGGCTTGGCTCTTGTGATATGACGCAAATTGAAGCATATCATGTTTTCTCTGTTGTCATTCTTTCTGGAAAAACTCTGGTGCGCAAAGATCCAGTCTAAAGTCCTTCATTTTCTACAAACGTGTGAAAGCTTTACAATTTATTAATTGACAATCAGTTTTTGTCAAAGCTAGATATATTCTTAAGCAAATCCACTCCAATGCACTGCCAATAACAAATCATGTTGAAGATTGTAACAGGAGGTTTTTTGCCAATAAAATCTTCCAATATTAAATTACATTGAGTGATTTCAGAAATATACTGTTTTATTTTTGTGGCATCATTTGTTTTTGTTCGAGGCCTCTTCTGTGGCCATAGTCGCATATCTTTTTATTGTCCACTATACAGCATCCAGTCAATAGCGCAAACTGAAATTGGAGTGCCCTCTGTATAAAGTAAATAAAAACTGGACCAGCCGTCACTGTGATGTACGATTTATATGTGCACAATGTGAGAAAAGCCTATTGTTGGAGCTCACATAACAACATTGTTTGGTGGAAGTTTAAAAAGTGCTTCCCTGAATAACAACTGCTGAAGGAGCATTTTTCCACAATTTAATTTTCTTAAATCCCCTCGTGTTTGTTTGAATTAGACCACGTTTAGCTTGACTTTACTATCGATCAAATTGTAAAATGTGTTAATCTTCTAATCTCAACGTCAATAAACAACGCAGCTTTACTCTTTCTTTTTCTCATTCCAAGTGTGACATTTCTTGTGTTTTTTTAGTTTAAATTACATCAAGACAATCTTATGCTTGGTCCTTTGGAAAAGCAAAGAGAGTCAGATAGTGATTAAACATTGCATTTTTAATCTCGAAAGACTGTTAAAATAAAGATGTGTTAAAATAAATGTTAAAAGTTCATTTTGTCTTCTGTCTATGTTAAAGTGATTGTCTGGAGTTTGTCAGAATAAAGAGAGAGAGGTATATGAGTTGGAAAAAACGACCCAAGCTCCTCCCCCTTCCTTTCTGATTGGTCTACGCCTACGTTTCCGTAACAATCAATCAACACTTTTAAATGTTAATCGGAGAGCACATTATACATATACATTATTAATAAACATGCACAGAGGTTTTCAGAATTATCTGTTAACGTTCTCAAAAAATAATGTTTTTATGCACAAAAAAGGCGATCACGGTAAACCCGGAAGTAGCTATTATCATTAATTGAACATTTTAGGACACATCTGCAGAGGATCTGATTATGGATATAGGTTCAGTATATACATAAGTACCTTAGTGCGGATGTTCAGAATTCTTTGTTCAGTTTTCATGTAGTTCCAGAGCCTATAAAGGCTTGATTCGGAGGCTCCGAGGAAAACAAACAACTGAGCATGAGCAGCTACGAGCATCAGCGCCGATGATTGACAGCCCTTGGCATCACTTTATTGGTTAAAGTGGACGGCATGGTGGATTTTGAGCTATAGCTAAGAGAAGAGAAGGCGGGTATTACCCGTAATATTAGAATTCATAAAATGACTTATTTTGTATCAATATTTAAGGCCAGGAGTACAATTTAATACAATTCTTAAAATTCGTAATTCATTTAGAGCTCCAGACTATCTCTTTAAAGGTTTGAGGTTCTTCTAAGGCCCTGTCCACAAAAAGTCAAGCTCAGGCCTAAACGCAAAAATACTTTATCAATCCAGTGTATCGTCCATACGAGGCCGGCGTTTTGGGGGGGTGTAAACGAACATTTTTGAAACTAGGTCCCAGAGTGGAAAGATTTCAAAACTCCGTATATGCCGCTCCGTGGTTACTGCCTCTCCGCAATGTATCTGAGACGCTTGCGTCATCGCCCCGCCTCTTGTTAAAGCACGCATGCGCCGCACTCAGAAAATAATGACAACAACAATGTAGCTTGTTGGTTTTGTAATCCAGTGTGACCCGAAGCAACAGTTCAACCTCATCGTCCGTCCATACTAATGTAGTACCAGCTCGCCCACTCGCCATGTTGTCTGTTTACAAAATTCCGCGCATGCCCACGGAAGTTTGGGCTTGATCCCGTCATTGCGTCACAGCGCCACCAACAGGTCTGGCATAGTTTCACAGCGTTTTCAGGCGTATTGACTACATTCATATGGACGCACACATTTACTGAGCTAACTCCGTGTTTACAGAAAAAGTTTCTGAAATTATAAGCGTTTTGTCTTCGTGTGGATATAGCCTGAAACAGTCTAAAGAAGCCTCTACTTCTATTGACCCAGGAATTAGAGAAACTAGCTCTGATCAAATACTACAAGCAACAACCAGAAAAGATATAGCATCTCAATCAATCAATCAATCAATCAAATTTTATTTATAAAGCGTTTTTCATACAAAAAGTGTAACACAAAGTGCTTTACAGTTTAGTTAAAAACAATCCAACATGCCCAGCCCTAAACCCTCCTCCCCACAGACCCCCCAAAACCACATTTATAATTATATATACAACCACATGCGTATACACACACACACATATACACACACACACACACACACACACACACACACACACACACACAAGTATAAAGTCATATCAGGTAAAATAGGTAAAACAATAAAAAGAAATGGGGCTGGGAGCAGATGTAACCGGCTGAAGAAGCGCCATCCAAGGAGCCATCTGCACCAGGAGCAGAGAGCCGGCTGCAGCCACAGGGAACGACACAGGACCCAGAGGAGAGAGGGGCCCCAGACCCCACCAGGCCCAGGACTCAGACCCCATAGGACCCAGAGGAGAGAGGAGGCCCCAGACCCCCACCGGATCCAAGAGCCAGACCCCCGAAGCCACAGCAGACCCCAGCTCTCAGTGCAGAGGGCTCCTCCAGAGGAAACACTGGGGACACTAAAACAATACAATAATACAATAGAAAGTAGAACAATAAAATGTGACAATAAAAAGAACAAATGGCAGCTGCCTAATATTGATAATAACAATAGTAAATGGGTAGGTACAATAAATAATTAAAAATAGTAAATAATAAAAATAAATAAAAATAGAATGTGTCTAAAAACATAAATAGATGTACTAAAAAGCAATAATAGATAATAAATACTAATCAAAGGCTACTCTAAAAAGGTGCGTCTTGAGCCTACTCTTAAAAATATGAATGTTCTCTGCGGCCCTGAGCTCCTCCGGCAGACTGTTCCAGAGACGGGGGCCGTAGTGCTGGAAAGATGCCTCGCCGTGAGTGTGTGTCCTGACTTTGGGGATGGTTAGAAGTCTGCTGCCGGAGGAGCGCAGGGGCCGGGAAGTAGAGCCCTGCACGGGCCTATTATCTGGGCCCGAGCCCGGCCCTGGCCCGAGGGGGTGGCGCCCCAGCCCGGCCCGGCCCGATATGGTTTCTCAATTTTCAGGCCCGAAACCCGCATCAAGCCCGCCTTTTTTTTTTTTTTTTGTAACCTCCCATAACAATGTTTTAGCGTAGTATATAGTGCCGCGCACTGATATGAACGCAGACTTAGCTAGAGGGCGGAGTTATACATGGTAGTGATGTGTTGCAATGAGTTCTGTGTGTGCGGAGTGGTGCAGAGTGAACATCTGTATGATACACAGCTGTATGATGCCCAGATGCTGCAACACACCTGTAAGTAACGCTATGTGCCGTCAATGACAACACTACACAGAACAACAAACACTACAGCGTGATAGAACGCTATATTCAGTGGGTGCGTTCGTAAATGTATTCTGCCGCTCTGAAAATGAAGAGCCCGAGCCCGGCCCGTGTCCGAGGTCATTATGCGGTCATCGGCCCGAAGCCCGGCCCTCGGGCTGTCGGGCCGTCGGGGCCCTCGGGCCAAGGGCTCA